CACGCAAATGTAAAAATTTGGGTTGATGTCCAAATCGAAGCGCATAAGAAGTTTTTCCAATTTTTGACCTCAAGAAAACCCGATTTGAAATATAACATGCAGTGTTAACCGCCTCAGCCCAAAATTTTCTAGGAGCGTGATACTCATCCAACATCGTTCTAGCCATCTCAACCAAAGACCGATTCTTCCTTTCAACAACACCTTATTATTGGGGAACACGAGGAGAAGAAAATTCATGTTCAAGACCTTTTTCGTTGCAAAATTGTTCAAATGAAGCATTTTTAAACTCACTACCATTATCACTTCGATTTCTTTTCAAAGAACCAGGAAATTCAAGATTCAATCGAAGATACAAACATCGAAAGTGTTGAAAAGCCTCATCCTTATCTGCCATAAAGAAAACCCAAGAATATCGAGAAAAATTGTCACCAATAACCAACACATACCACTTTCCTCTAACAGATTGCACTCTAGCTGGACTAACAGTGTTCATGTGTAATAGTTGTCCCGGTGCATCTGTCATCATAGAAACAATAGGAGCATGTGAAGAAGCAACCATCTTAGCATGATGACACGGTGTACAAACCAAATCAAGATCTTTCTTAAGTTTAGGCAAACCACGAACAAGATCCAATCCACTTAACCTCATGAGATGATCAAAACCAACATGTCCAAGTCTACGATGCCAAAACATCACATCCTTATCAAACTTAGCAACCAAACATGTTATCGCAGGTGAAACAGGATTTTCAAAATCAGGTTTAAACACTCCTCCATAGCGAGAAATATTCAACACATAATCACCACAAGAATCAAATACTTTACTTCTAGTTTTCTTAAAGTGAACCTCAAAATTTTCATCAACAATTTGTGAAACTAAAAGCAAATTATACTTTAAATCCTCCACCAAAGCTACGTTTTTCAATTCAAATTTGTCATTTACCTTGACCAAACCTGTAGCGAGAACAATACTAGTAGAAGCATCACCAAAGATAATCAATTCAGTCTTGGATGCTTGTTTGAGGGAGAACCAATTTTTATCACCGGTCATGTGCCGCGAACAACCGGAATCCACGATCCACACGTTCTCCTTCATCGCGACCAAAGCCTCATTGTCTTCACACTCTGAATCCAATTCACCACGTGCCATGAAGCAAACACCGAAGATGTTCTTTCCCTTATCTTCATCTTCACTTTCTCCATCTACATCGCTTAGAGGCTCAAAAGCAGCATAGACTTGATCAAATGCCTTCTTGAGAGTCTCCTTGATCTTCTTCCCCTTGAATGTGTTCTTTGGCTTGTTCTCCTTGGTCTTCTTATCGCCATTATCTTCCTTTTTGCCTTTCCCAAGCTTAGGACAATGCGAACGAAGGTGATCAAGAGCACCACATTCAAAGCAACGATTTGGTCCACTTTTTTTCCTGTACCTAACATTATTTATAGCTCGAGAAAGCTTGTTAGTCAGCAAAACCAAGTCCTCCTCCTCAAACTGTTCGAGTTGCTCATCGGACATGGCATTAAACAATGCAAGAATAGAAGACTTCGATGAAAAAGCACCACCATCCAAAGAAGTCAAAGAAGAAACCAAAGCACTAGACTTAAAATCAACTTTACGAGCAAGAATATTCATCTCATGAGTTTTAAGTTTTGTGTAAAGCGAATCCAAAGTTAAAGTAGACATATCAACATACTCTTGAATCGATGTAACTTTCATCTCCCAAATAGACATGTCAAGACCATTCAAAAAGTGATGAGAAACCTCAGATTATATGTAATTAACATCATAAGAAGAATCAACAAATCTAATATCACTCAAAATTTTGTTAAACCTAGAAAGATAGTCATCCAAAGCTTCTCTAGGTTTCATATCAAATTTTATGTACTCATTTTTGAAAAGATCCCAACGAAGTTCTTTAATGTTATTAGTTCCTTGATGAAAATTTCTCAAAGCAATCCAAACCACATGGGCAGTTTTAAGATGAGAAACACGATCAAAATCCGAACGAGAAATTCCACTCAAAAGAATATTGCGAGCTTTGCAATTATTTTCAAATTCAGTTTTTAAGATAGCGGTATTGATTTCATCAGGAATCACATAAGGATTAGAAACTTATCTCCAAATATCAAGATCCTCAGCCTGGATATAAGATTACATCTTACTACACCAATAAGGAAAATTCGTTCCATTGAAAACATGGGGATTAGTTGTAACCTTATTAGCCATGGCAAAAACTCTAGATCGGTTAAAATCCAAAGAAGAAAACAAGGCTCTGATACCACTTGTAGGATCGAAACACCAGAACTAAGCCAACCAGAGTGGGGTGAATGGTCGGTATGCCCAAAAACCCAAATTTTTGCGGAATTAAAAATTACTCTCAAATTCGACGGATCACGGTCTGACCGAAGAATATGTGTCGGTCTGACCGCCTGAGAAACGTCGGTCTGACCAGAGTTGATCGCCCAGTCCAACCGCCTGAAGATCGGCTCTGCCTCCTGTTGCCATCGCTGGTCTGACCGCAGGTCTGTCGCCGGTCTGACCGCCGCTTTGCCGCCGGTCTGACCGCCGGTATGTTGCCGGTTAGACCGCCAAACCCGATGAAACCCAAATCAAAGAACTCTCAAAGTGGATGACAACTTTATTGCTTCTCTCTGTGTTTACAAAGTGCAACAACAGCACTCCTTACAAAAATCTCGACTAAACTCGAAACCCTAACTAAACTATCAACTCAATACTCTCAAAAGCGATACCAGGAAGCCTCACGCCCAACCTCTATTTATACATGAGGTAGACAGCCTAAAGCCACAAACCAAACTCATACTAGAAGTCCTAATCCATATAGGAAACCTTCTCGTACAAGAAACAAACTTTACATAACCAATCATACCAAATTTGGACTTCTTCCAAATTCGACTCCGCATCTTATACGCACACAATACCTCTATAGTATGCCATATGGAATCTTCACTAACCACGTGCATTGAACTCTAGCCTAAGTATCCCGCATGATATCTGACCTTTATTCTTCAGATCCTTGAACCATGATCCATGTTTTTTTTCATTATCTCAGTGAGAGCCCATAGATGTTTTATTTGAACCAATTAAAATGTGTGGGAAATAGTATTAGATATTGTTCTATAATTGCATAACAACTGATGCATATAGAAATTAAATGTTACAAAAAAATTACTTTTTGACCATGTAAAAGTTACTTTCAAGTGACATGAAAGTTACTCTAGGAAATTGATAAAATTATTTCTAAAGCTAGAAACTTTGCATTTTGTGATTGGTTTTCATTAGTTTTCATTCATTCCTTCTACAGTGAAAACAAAGCAAAAAAATTTTTTGATAATGCATGAAAAAAATGAAAAAGGAATAAAAAATCAGTACTTGAAATAGTCTTACAGAAAGTTACTTTTTGACCATGTAAAAGTTATACTTTCTTGTAACATGTAAATTACTTTTGAAATATGTTAAAATTACCTCTCAAGTCTAGAAAAAAAATCATCTTATACTTGATTGTCCCCATGAAGAAGAGAAACGCTTGTCCCTATGAAAAGTAAATTGAAAAAAAATTGTAGTTTTCTGGAAAACAAATGCTTGTCCCCATGAAAAAGACTAATGTATGTGCTAACAAGTGGAGACCACGAAAAAGAATAGCTGACGCCACCATGGTCATTTCCCTGGTTTTCATGCAGGTTCGATGGCAATGTCCATCTTTGACGTGGCAGTTAACACATGACCATGACCAGTTCATCAGTTAATCTGATCAAACAAAATGGATTTAATTACTATTCTACAAACATCACTTCAGTTAAATGAAAAACCAAAATTTATCAACTTCATACCAGACTTCACCGGAACAAGTGGGAGAGGTTCAGACCCACATCGATCACTGCATATGCAAAGTCAGCAAACTCAGGCATAAACTGGGGCCTGTAAGCCTTTATATATTGGACCCTGACGGCCTGACCCAGTCCCTACTTGTTGATTGAATTCGAACTTGACCCAATAAACCAACGAAATGCTAATATAGGAGCAGCCTAATAAATGTTAGTCTATATCATGTACAACAATCTGTTACTCCTGCTTAGTTTAGAAGAAGCCATTTGATCCATAAAGCTACATGTTCAGCTAGGTGTGTCTATCAGCATGACAAAAACTTCGGAAGTTGGAACCTTGCTTGAACTACAAAAATAGTTCTGAAAAAAGATCATGTGTGATGGGTAATGCTACCCATTTTTTATGAAATCTCACAACCTGCAACGAAACAAATCCTTACTATTTACACCCAAAAGTTAACTACCACTTAAACCTAAATTTACTTCTACAGTAAGCAAAATTATGTGGTTAAGTACATCCATTCCATTCCGCCTACAAATTAAACATCCACTCTAAAACCAGTGACCTATAAGCAGATCCACATTTTAACCACTGACCTATAATCACATCCGTTCCCCCCTAACCCAAACAAACCTTCAGTCCATGGTGCTTGTATAAAACAACTACAAGCAATAAAATCATTTTGGACACTAAAATCAGAAAAATTCATGGACCAAATTTTGACCATGGAGTTCCTCAAACTAATTCTGTGCATGCAGGAAGAAAACACATTAGAAACTATCAAGTGTGGCGCATGGGGTGAGTTCTGGGCGTATCCACGTAGGATTACTACAGTGTTTTTTTGGCGTGTTTTTATTAACAGCCGCAGAAGGGGCGGCCTCTCGCGTGGTCCACGTAGGCTAGCAATAGTGCGGGGCGGTGGAATTTTTCAAAAAAAAACCCTCCAGTTTGTGCGTAATTCGTTCTATGTCCCTCACCAACAGTACCTATGAGACAATATTTTATGTTTAAGACCTTATAAAAGGTGGATATTCTATGATAAGGAGGGAAAAATCGCGCTCTAGGACTACGTTCTAAAATGTGGAAGAATAAGGGCTTTTTCGAATAAATACGCGCACTCATCCACTCCCAGTCCCCCACTCTCCCCCCAACCCTAGCCGCCACTACCCGCGTGCCCTCCCCGCTCCCGTCTCGCCCTCCCCTCCCTCTCCCTCTCCCGCCGAAGCCGCCGAGCGCCACCTCCGCCTCCCCCTCGCGCCGCCGCCTCCACCTCCGTTGCCGTCGCGTCGCCGCCGCCTCCGCCTCTACCTCCCCCTCGCGCCGCCAGCTCCGCCTCTGCCTCCTCTTCCTTCCCCTCTGCCTCGCGTGGCCGTCGCCGAGTGCGCCACCTCTGGCTCACGCCGCCGCTGCCGTCGTCGCTGTAGAGGAGGCGGATCCGACCTCCATGTGTTTGGGGGACGCGGATCTGACTGACGCAACGTCGTCATCCGCTGTCGTCGCCATCGCCGAGCGTCACCGCTGCATCCTCCGCCACACCTCCGTCCTTCACCGCCAAAGACCGCTATGAGCGGTCGACCTGGGGTGGAGGCGTGGAGCCGGCCGCCATCGCCGCAACTTCATGGCATAGGGGACGGTTGTCCGTCGATTTGAGGAGTGAGAGGCGGCAACAGCAATAAAGAGGGGAGAGGCCTGCCGGCGGCTGTATGGTGGAGAAGCGCCGCCGCAGCCCGCATCCCCTCCTCTCGCCCCTCCCTCTCCCACCCGGGCGATTCGCAAGCCGCCGCTGCCACCGCTCTCGACCGCCATCGCTGCCGTCTCATGGGCTCCAGGAACCGCCGGCGGGGGTGATCTTGACCTCGACCTCAGCCTTGGCTGCTTCAATGGTTGCAGTGAGCTTTCTTCTCATCCCCTTATGTGTGCTTCTTCTTTTGCAATATCTCTCATTCGTGATCCAACAGTGGGGATAAGTGGAGCTCCGTCCTGGAAGGGTGGAGGCGGGAGATGCTCTGACCATCGGCGGCTGGCATCAGCATCAGATCCAGGCTGCGGTGGCGCGGATCGAACGTAGAGGCGTGATCTGATGACGGTGGTGGAGTTGCAACCAAGGTCGATGGGGATGTCGAGGGCGTTGCTGATGAAGAAGCACCCCAGTTAATGATATGGCTCGCTTCTCTGGCTCGAGGGCGTTGCGGATGAAGAAGCCCCATGCTCTGGCTCAGGCTCCGCTACGGGGTTACCATACCGTAGGTACATGAGCTCCTACAGTTTGTGGTTCTCCTCCTTCCATTATTTTCTTTGCCATTTGCTACAACAGTTTCCGGTTCCACAGATTATATTGTCAAGATGCACAGGACATAATGAATAAGTTCAGCACGCCGCAGACACGTCGTGGTCAATTCCTCATCGGAAGTATTGCTTGGTGCTTGTGTATTTTTTCCGCATAGAAATAAGATGGGATGGATTTTTTTTCTCCACAGATTATTTTATATGTTTCTAAGAATAGGAATATGAAGTGGAAAATATGGCATGTGTTCTGTATGCTAATAATCTAATAGAGTGGATCAGGTTGGTTCGAGTTTGTTTGCAAGGCAAACCAACATTACCTACATAGATGGCACCGTGATAATCATGGAATTGTTTCTTCTCCTTTTTACATGATCCTGTAAATGAAAGGAAGGTACTACTGATTTATTGGATGATCTTTCGTGACTTGCGGCTAAAATGATGGTGTAGTTTTAATCTCTGTATTCCCGTTTCATATCATAGAAAAAAAGAACTAATGTGGTTAAAAGGTGAGATATTGTATTTTTGTTGAATGTTTATAATCTCTAATAGGTTTATTTTTCTGGTTTTGAGGCTTGTGGGCCTAATATACCTTGAGACAGTGGCCCATGGCTGATAACCGGAAATGAGTCATGACTTACTGCTGGGACTTATCGAAGATCCTGTTTTGAGATAAATATGATTTCATTTCAGGTGGAAGTTCTGTTATTCTAAAGGAATCAGCATCTGCCTTCTAGAGGTGAAAAATGTATAGTCCTAATTACTAAGGCATTGTTTGATGTCTGCCCTTCTAGAGGTGGAATGTACAATCCTGGTTGCTAGGGCATAGGATGATGTTTCTTTTATTTGGCTTGTCCTGTGTTTATCTGGTTAAATGTCAAGAAATGTGCCATGTGCTATTGTCTCCCATGAAACATTGAAAGAAGAAGGGTTTATAAGGCGGCCCTATACATTAGGTCTTTAGATGTAGTATCCTTTCTTTGACAAGCTCTGATGGCCTACAAAAACCGGCTCTCACACCATTAGGTAATGTTATGTTTCCATTAATTTTACTGGGATATTGCATTACTTGGGATAATCACATGCATTTCCATGGCAATTTAAGGTCTAGCAAGAAAATAGTTTACTAAACGGACCAAGATAGAATTTCAAGTCTTACGAGTAAAAGTTGGGATGATCTGGTTTAATGCTATAATTTGTATGTACCAAATAATTCCGTAGACATCCTGAATACCTAAGTACTTTAAACATTTTCGTATGAAGAGTTGTTAGGTCTGCTAGCAGCAGTACGCTATTACTTCAAGTTAATCACTGCATGAATTTCTGTTTATGGGAATCTTGAGATTTACAATACATTTGAATGCTTACATTATATGTAGCTAAATAAACCCAACTAATGGAGGGTCAGTTCATTTATTTATCATGCAAGATTGTTAGTTTAACTATGTCAGATTTGCATAGGGTTCAGGGTTTAGGGACCTCATTAATAACCTCTACCACCATCTGAACCTAAAGATTTTGCATGCTCTGGTTGCAGCTTCAACCATTCCTTGGGTTTGCTTCTTATAATTGATGTATAATTTATTTTTGATTTGGTATTATTTTCTATAGTGACAACCTGTACTAATTACAGATCTAATATTGTGCCTCAACCTCACATGTTGAATATGTTGGCTTACGTCAGTTAGACCTCTACGTAGAAAGCATCAATGGTTGTGAGGCCTACTGATTTCTCTCTCACTCTAAGTCCGAGAAAAATATTGTCGTGTTGATGCTACTTCCAAATTTGAGCATACTAAGATGCACTGATGAACATGGTACTGTTACATTACTCTAAGATGTGATTTCAGGCTCATGGTTCTTCGTATGGTATAAGTTGCAGGTATTGAAGTGCTGGGCTGGAAATTCTCACAAATGCTAGGTATGTGGGCACTCCAGAACATGGGTTTTAGCATAGCGTCCGGATAACATTTTTCCAATGTTTATTTGCCTAAAAGTGATCTTTAATTACTTGTATAGTTTTTACCGCCCCTTGTATATTGTGTGGGTTATGATTACATCTTTTCAATTCGCATGTGTTACATGTGCTCCCTTAGAATGGTTTTTAATTTCTTGTAGTTTCTGCAGGGCTAAATCACATGTGTGCCCCTGGAAAGCATTTTCAGCTGTTTGAATCTTGCTTTTTCTCATCTTAATGAACGTCTGCATTTAATTTTTTTTTAGGCATTCATGCTTCCACACAACGGTTGTGCATTTTCCCTGACTTGTTTGATTGCAGGACACCCAGCAGCACTGCCACAACAAGTCAGCAATCAAAGTCTCCATGCGCATGTGCATGCTGGTAACCTCTACCACTATGTGCATACATAATAAATTAAATTTACTTTTGCCACTTGAAACCTATAAACACAGGCAACTATTTTTTTTCTTTTTCATTTCCAAAGGTTTGTTTCAGTGTTAACCTTGGTATTTTTTTTCCTATCAAACTATCCAAGCTGAATGAGTGCAAGGATATTTTTGAGGCTTTGTACAAATTATTTATGATCTACGCACCTACTTGAAGCCACATGTAAGAATCTTGAACTTTTTTAAACCACTCATTTAATTTTTATTTTTGGCTATAACATTGATATAACCTTTTGTTGTATAGATTGCCATTCTTGATAGTGTGACCATGAGTGGTATAGCCGAGATGTTTCCACTCCTATAACATTTTACATTGCCACTAAAAACAATGTGATTGGTCAGTTAATAGGTGCAACCTTGGATGAGAAAAATACTTTTTGGATTTTCTCCTGATCTGTTTTGTCATAATTGTCATGTTAACCTTTGAAATCTAATCTTGGGATGGAGAGTTAATGGCTTGTATGGTAGGATGTGTTGCTGCTCGTGTGCACACTACACAGTAGGTGGGGGGTGTGAAGGGGTCATATATTTTTGTCTGGTAGCTTTGCTCGTGGGCCACAAAACACCTCTTGTCATTGCTTCTGTTGATGCATATGCTACTGCAAACAGCTATGATTATGTTCAGGCTGTGATTTGTTAGTGGACAGTTGCCCCTGTCCAAACGGGTCCTCTGAATGTCCAAAATTTCTTTTACTGTTTTGTTGAGCCTTTTTATTTGTGGGATGGGATTTATATCTAGGTAATATTAACTACCACAATGTATTGGTTGCTAGCTGTTGGGGAGTATTTTTCATCTGTCAGTCAGTGGAACTCAGGTCTGCAGTAAGTTTGTTCATGATTGAGAGCATATAGCTTATATCTCACCCAGCTGCTGACTTCAGGCAGATAGAAACAATTACACTTTTTTTGTGGTATCTGTGTAACATACTGCTATCCCCTCTGTTTTTGTCTGGTAGCTTTGCTGCCCATTTTTAGATCTATCTTGCTTGTCATGTTTTCTCTACTTTATTTTTTAACAACACTTTGCAATGCGTTCCGTTTTGGCAATTATATGATATATATTTTTCTGCTTATTAATCTTAACAGGTTGAAATTAATATATTGATGTTGTATCATCACAGAGGCGGTCTTTCTTAGTCTTCAATATTTTCTTAGAGCTAAACGGTTATATTTTTTTTGGTGTCTACTTAGCAACAATGCCATCTCTTCAGTTATTGCAACTGACAGAGCATGGACACAACCTTTTGTCTTTGAGAAGGTGTGCTGTTTTAACATTATATTTCTAAATTTTAGTAAGCCGATCATTTAGTTCTTATCTCATGTTCCTTATTCTTTACAAATATCAACATGAGAGCTCTTGCAGTTGTTTCTGGTGTATTACTTGCGGGTGGAACTTTAGCGTATGCTCAGTCAGCTCGGCGCCAAAAATGTCAGGAAGAATATTCTCATAGTGATGCAAATACATAGACCACGAGTAATCAGATCATTTGTCAAAATGGTGTTGATGGTAAATTGGTAAAATCAAGGAAAAAGAAAGATGGCTCCTCCCATTGAATTCAAGTGTTGAAATATGTGATTCAAGTATTCTGATTGAATACTTAAATTCAAGTATTCAAAGGTCTTACCAACATGTTATCTGAAAGAGCACTGAATCTAAACCATAGAACTTTATCATTTGAAGGTTGTTCAAGTTACTATGAGACCTGCCAAGCAATCTGCGCTGGTGCTACAAGATTGCATATCCACATGTTTATGTAGTTCACATTTGTTTCCCAAGTGGTGAAGATATTCAAATCTATATGTCGTTACTACACAGAATTGTTCAAGTCAGTAGTGTAAAACTAGCTAATTATATTCAACCAGCTTCAATTTTCTTACCATGATCCTGGTGAAATGTTCTTAATATAACCATTGGTTCTCTATATTCTGTTATATGTGATTTTCTTTTATTAAAAGACTAGAAAAAATGCCCGTGTGTTGCAACGGTCGAAGTCTATTTTAATCTTATTATTATTGTTATATGGTTTAGTTAAGATGAAAATCACAGTGGGAGTTCGCTTTATATATTTTTAGAAAATCATGAGCTGCAGTTAGGAGTCCGGTCGTCTCAAGTTAGCATGCGAGTTTTTTTAAACAAATTTCTTATATGATTCCTTATGTTTTACCAAAAGTGAATGATTTCTAAAAGCAAACGAAGTTAAAAACCGATTTATACATGGATGATGTATCAAATATCGGTAAAAATATTTTTGATTTTTATAGTAGTAGAGATAATGCCCGAGAAGTGTAGATAGCCAATTGTGATTTTACTAGCGAAAGATAAATGTTAGTATAGCAGATAAGCCATATTTATACTAAGATTTGTTACTAAATGCACAACAGGTAGGTCCAAAGACAATTAACGTAACAAAAGGTTTAAATAACGTAACAAAAGGTTTAAAGAGTGAATTACAGAAAAATCTTATGCAGGCGGCGCGCCATTGGCGCGCCCCAGCCTCTAGTACTAATTTAACACGAACAATGCAGATCACATAGGTACTCCCTACTCATGCTACAGCAAAGTACTAATTTAGGCCAAAGTCCAACATCATGACATCCACATCCTAATTTTTGCACTAGAGAATCTCTCGACTGCTAGCTAACTGTCGACAGTCAATTTTTTAAGCAGTTGATTCCGCGTTAAGATTTGTACTTGAGATATTTTACTATCGGATCTAAACCCTTTTTTCACAAGCTAATCACATCATCGCATGTTTATGGTAGATTTGTTCAAGTTACATCTAAGTTACTTTCTACTTACATGCTATTTATATTATAGTTACACTACACTATAACTACATTCTTATTTCTATATAAATTAGATATAAAGTTGCATATATTATTTTAATACATATATATATACAAGTTGTTGTTATTATTATTATTATTATTATTATTATTATTATTATTATTATTATTATTATTATTATTATTATTATTATTATTATTATTATTATTATTATTATTATTATTATTATTATAGTATAGTTCTAGTGGAATTATATACTATAGTTAGATTTGAAAGTTTTTAAAAAAACTCGACAGCTTTTAGCTAATCCCTTTGCATTTAACAAAAAAAAGAAAAATCGCACCTCCGGTTCTCTCGGGCGTCCGCCGGACCGCCGCCCGCTCCGCACGCGACACGTGACCGCCGAATAGCATTTTCGGCTCTTGGAATAAGTTCATCTAAGGTCCCTTAACTTGTCAACGAATCCGATTTTCGTCCTTCAACACCAAAACCAGATACAACGGGTCCCTCGACTATCAAAACCGGTGCAGATTAGGTCACTCGGTGGTTTCGATGGCGGTTTTGGCTGACGTGGCGCCTACGTGGCTAATTTGACTCGGTCTCGATCTGACATGGCATTGAAGTGGCGCTTACGTGACAATTATATCTCGAAAAATAATAAAAACCACGGGCCCACATGTCAGCTAAAAAAATGGTGGGGCCCACGTGGGCCCCACATGTCATTCCCTCTCCCCTCTCGGCTCTCCCTCTTCTTCCTCACTCCCGCCGCCTCCAAGCTCCGACGACAACGGCGGCCGAAGCATGCCGGAGCACGGGCGCACGTACAAGGACGCCGCCGAGAAGGCTCGCCGCTTCCGCGTGTTGAAGGCGCCATTTTCCTTTCCTATTGATCACAGTAAATGGTCACGGGAAAACTGTGAGAAAAATTCCTTTTTGATGTCGATTCCAAGGGAAGACAATCAAGAGACAAGAACGGGGGTTGCATGAAGAAGAAACAAAACGAGCCTCCTTTCCACACAAGCTCTGTTGAAAATATAGTCATGAATCGGCATATTTTAATCCAAAATGTTAAAGCAATAATCATGACATAAGCAGTGTAGGGTGATCTTAACATAACCAGTAGCATACTATGCGCATCATGAATGTCAGGAACAGAAACATTACAGTAACTCAATAACATGCTTGAGGCATCATGAAGGTCAGGAACAGGAACATAGCGCACATGACAGTAAAGCGATAGCGCTAACAAAGGGAACAGAAGAAGGATACACCTCGAGAATGGCCCTCCACTGGATTGTGAGGCAGAATTGCCTCCGTTGATGTTGTTGTTCGCGGCACCGGCTCCTGGCGCACCACCGCCGGCTCCAGCTCCTGGCGGCGCACCACCTGTGCCATCTCCTCCAGCAGCGGCGGGGGGAACTCCAGACATGGCGAGCAGTCGTGCGATAGGCACTCCCAAAAAACCTGATCACCCGCCTACCCGGTGCAGATCTCAGGCGAATGTGGTTTCGGAGGCACGGCTCCTTCCAATCTCTCGTGCGCGCAAGAGATCAGAAGCGAGGAAGCGAGAAACAGCACTGGCACGGAGGAGGAGGAACTAACACCGGGAAAGAAGCAAGTGTCCCACACAGATCAGACTTGCGGCCTCCTTATCGCTCAGGAGAGAGAGGCAGTCGTTGGAACGTGGACGCGCTGTTGCGGAGAGAGTCGTGGGAACGTGGTTAGTGGCTGCAAAAGAATAGCGACGTGACGCATGCCGCCGCCAGCCACGCCACGCCTCGGCCTCGGCCGGCGCGCGCGCGCGCGTTTAGCATCCTGACCCTCACCTCAACCAGTCAAGAACTAAATAGGGGGCCTCCAATAACTCCCTATTTAGGTTGAGATATTCCTCGCTTAAATCCTGAGGTGGTATTATTATCCTTAACACTTATTATGGGCCTTTGAGATTTAATAGGATAAGTTGGGCCTAGCCCAATTATTCTAACAAGCTCGCGGTGGCTGGCCGCCGTCCTCTCCAGCTCGCTCCACCACCATCCAGCCAAGCGCGCTCGTCCACCATCCACGGAGGGCCGGAGCTCATCAGTGGGTTGCCGCCGCCACTGTTTCAACTAATTTTGCCTGCCTTTTGAGATTAGGAAATTAGTTCAGCTGTAAAGAAATAAAGGGGAAAACAGATGGGATAAACACGGTACACGTAGATGATAAGTAGATAAGTACGGTACAGAGGAGGGCCGCCTCTCCTCGCCCGGCTGCTGTGCGCCGCGGAGGAGGGCTCCCTGACAACAACCGCGTGGGACTCCTCCTCACTGCCCCCCTCCTCCTCCTCCTCCTCCTCCTCCTCCTCCACCTCCCACTATGACACGGCCGACGGGTCAGGCTCCCGGCGGAAGGGGTCGGGCACCTCGAGGGAGAAGCGACAACGTCGGCGGTGGCAGCGAGGCATCGGGCATCGAGCATCGGGCGCTCGGAAGCCATAGGGGATGGGAGCGAGCAGGGCTAGTGGGTCACCACCGGAGGCATGGCGGCGGATTGGGCGAGAGGTCGCCGGTGACGGCGAGGTCAATGGAGGAGGCGGTGGCATGAGCACCGACGCCCAACTCCTCTCCACCGGCCGCCGCAGTCGCCAGAGCCATGCCTCCGTCGCGAGAGAGGAGAGGGGAGAGAGAGTTGATGAGAGGGGATGGGGATTGAGGAAGAAGGGGGTTGAGAATGACATATGGGGCCCGCGTGGGCCCCACCATTTTTTATTAATTTCTGTGTGAAACTGACATGTGGGTCCCACAAGGTTTATTATTATTTTTGATTGAATTGCCACGTAAACGCCACGTCGGTACCACGTCAGATCGAGACAGAGTTAAATTAGCCACATAGGCGCCACATCAGGCAAAACCGCCGTCAAACCGCCGAGGGACCTAATCTGCACCGGTTTTGATAGTTGAGGGACCTGTAATATCTGGTTTTGTGGTTGAAGGACGAAAATCGGATTCGTTTAGGACTGAAAACGGGGCGGGTATTTCCCGACCGCCCGCCCGGCCACATTATTTCGGGTCAAATTCGGGTCGGGAATTTGGGTACCCGGACCCTTACATGGATACAGGGTTCGAATACGGGTAATTTTTTGCGGATATGAGATCGGGTTCGGGAGAGTGGTATCCGATGGATACGGATTATCCGGGAAATTACGCGGGTATTACCCGATAATCTATCCGTATATTACCCGGATAGATGGACAGCAGCCCAACAGGCAAGCGCCCAACAGGCCAACACAACAGGCAACAGCCAGCCCACATCCAAAAGGCCCACCAAACAAAGTGCCAAGCACAAACCCTAGCCTTCACTTCACAGTTCAGATCAGGGCAGAACGCAGGCAGGCAAATAGCCAGGCAGCACCGCGCCGCACGCCGCATGCGTGCATCCAGGCTCCAGCACCGCCGCCGTGCCTTCGCAGTTCGCCGACCACCAAGTGGCTACGCGGCCACGCCCACCGACCACCGGCCGCTGTCGCACGTCGCCGCGTGGGTGTGCGACAAGCCGACGACCGTCAGACTGCCGCCGCGCCGACCACCACCGCAAGGCCCCGCCTGGCCCCTTGCCTCTTTTGGCTCCTCAACGCCGAGAGCCGAAGGACGTCGCGCCACCTCGTCATCTTCTTGGGTAGTCAAGTCAACACTCAGCGACTCATCCAGCCATCCAGGTTAGCCAAAGTTTCAGTTTTTCATTGCCCTTTCTCAACATCACGTTAGAACTTGGAAGGATTTTTTTTTCTTATTTTACTTTTGCTGTTTGGCTGTAGGATTAGGATAGAATGGCTAGTGGTGATGCAAACACTAGTATGTGTTGGTTCCATACTTTGTCAACTTGGAAGAATTGCTGTTTATCTTCATTTCGCTATTTATATAATCTGCCATTTCTAGACTGTGTTTATATTTTGTCAATTTTATTTACAGGTCCATTTAAGGACAAGATAGCAATAATTCTTGATGAGCTGGATGTACAGATAGAGGATAAAGATGGTGCTAAAACTGACAATGATGAGGAGGTTAATTACATATTTATGTGTTGCATTTAAAAATATATTTTGGACCTGCAATCTTTAAATGAACAATCTGTTGGTTCCACTTTGGATTTTGAGAGAGTTAAGGAGCACCACATTGTATTAACTGAATGTTATGTTCTTTTTAGGGTCAGGCAACGAATAGTGTTTGAAGCTGAGCATGTTGCTGATTGGAGAGCTGGAGTTTTTGGTGATTGAATCTGAACATGCTGGCCTTTGGGATGACTGTATTGGTAATATGTGATCAGTAGTCATATAAGTGTATCTTTTGGCTTGATTGTATACCTTATGTGAACTACTTTGGTACTACTTAGTAGTTAGTACTATTACTTATGGAGTTATGGTGATGCTCTTAGTATTTACTAGTATGGTACTACTTATTATGGTGAACTATAGTGTACAACATTGAGTCTGAAGCTATCAAGCTATAAATGTCTACTTTTGCTACTACTTTGGTACAGTTTTGCTGATAGGCATTACGATGCCATAAGCCCCTAATATATTCATAATAGACATATAGGAAATGGCTGAATGGCTATTGTCTATGTGGTATATTTGGTTGTTGCTTTGACTTGATATCTGAATAAATATTCATAACCGATAGAGTTCGTATCCGTCTTGGTACGTATTCGTTTCGTATTTATGCCCGATATTATCCGTGCTTCTATTCGTATCCGATAATATCCGTGCCCGACCCGATTCCGATTATAAAATGTGGGTTAGGATATGGGAAGGATGAGATCCGACCGAACCCGACCCGATTTCACCCCTAGATTCGTTGACAAGTTAAGGAACATTAGATGAACTTATTCCTCGGCTCTTCTGGCGCCAACCCTGACCTCTCACAAGGCCCAACTAATCGGCCCATCTCCACGCCACTGAGCTAAGCCTGGCCCGGCCCACCCAAGGGTCCGGAATCCTCTTCCCCTCCTCACTCCTATACTCACCTCATCCCTATCGTCTTGCCTCCACCCCCCCACCCCCCACCCCCCCATCCCATTCTCGCCGCCGCCCTCATCTCGCTCCGGTAATCCTACCTGCCGGATCCGACCGATCCTCTCCAACTACAGCATCTCCATCCCCCTGTTCTTTTCTTCTGTTGATCACAGCACGCGCTGTTTTTGTTTTCCCCGCTCTCTCTGATCGCCGCAGTTTTTTCTGCCGTTGGAATCCGGATCTTCGTCGTGGTCGCGTCGCCGGTGGCCGTCGCGAGCATGTGAGTCATCTGATCCGTCCCCGTGTGGCATCATCCATTTATCTCCGCGTTACTTGGTAGTCGATCGATCGGTCTCCTCTTTGGTTGGAACGGATCGCGCGTGCTGCATGCTGTGCGACCATGCGCCTGTGTGTCGTTGGGGATTGGTTTTGGAACGATTCGGGCGCCATGATCGGCGCCGGCGGAGGACTCACTCCGTCGCGGTTGCTCCGACCAATTTTCATTGCCGTATTTCTGTCGGTGGACGTTGTGTGTCATAGGGTGTTGCATCGAATAGATGCGATATAGCCACGCGTGATTCTTGCGAGGTCGCATGGCAGAGTGCTGGATCTAGTGGTAAAGAAGTAAGAATTCTTGTGGTTCTATTCCTATCAAATTTTCTCGCCCTCCATCTATGTTTTTGTTTATGCTATGCTAATTCTGGCTGCCCCGCACTTGTCTCCCGTTCCCATGTCATTCATGAAGCCCAGCGTTGTCTATAATTGCTATTAATTTCCGTCTACATCTGCATTATGATGCTAACGCTTAAACTTCCTCTGGTACATACTTTAGCGAAGCACACCTGCAAAAACTCTCATGTGATGACACCTTCAGTACAAAGCTGATTCTGAAGGCTGAAAACATCAAATTCTGGCACTTAAAGTTCTTCTGGTACATACTTTAGCGAACCACACCTGCGAAAAGTCTTACGTGATGATACCAAAGGCTGAAAACATTGAATCCTGGCACCCGGCAGGCGGGCAACTTGAAGTGGCGCTGCTCCAGATCATGCAACGCCACCACCACGAATCCCTCCGTCAGCGCAAGCAAACTGGTAACCCCTTCGACCCCCTACTATTGATTTTGCCAAAAACCAATTTTTTTTAATGAAATTTCCACCTTTGATTTCTCTAATGACCTTTTGTTCCACGTCAACGCATACAGAGAGAGCAAAGATGGATGCTGTGAGGAGTGCGGCGCGGGTTGCAGATCTTCTCGTGGCCACGGTTGACGGCGGAGTGCAGGAGCTCTACATCAACGAGAAGCGCATAGAGCTTGAAGCCCGCGCGCTTCTTGCTACAATCGCGTGGTACAGGAAGCAGACTGACCAGTGGCTTGCTGCCACCAATGCAATCAACTGTCTTGAAGGTTCACTTACCTTCTCTTCATCTCCTTTTTAGATGCTTTTCTCCAGTTCGTAGATACTGAAGTCACAAGACCACGAAATGCATATCCTGTTATCACCAATTCTTGGAAAATGAGACGACATTGGATAGATTGCAGTTATTTAGGTGTAGTTCATTTTCCCCAAAAGTATCCATGTGTAGCACTGCTAATAAATTCAATAGTGCTAGACAATTTTTACAGCTTCCTTAGTTGATCATATGCCATTTCTTGTTGCTGAAACATCTGTTGTTTAATTATGTTATAGGAAATTGGAGATTTTGAGAACTGGATGAAGATCATGGATTTTGACTGTAAAAGTATAAATGCGGCTATCCGTAACATTCACCAATCCTAACTGTGCCGGTGACTATGGTGTTAGGAAGATTTTATCCTGTTCCTACTCAGTTTAGCACTGTTTTTTTTTCTGAGTTGTCAACTCTGTTGTATAGGACTGGTTTGGTCTACAAAATTGAAAAATTCCCAAGCTTTTTACTGGGAAGCCTCCTCGTAGGCAACAATATATTCTGTTGCAAATATTTGATCTACCTCAGAAAATAAATATTGGTTCTAAGGAGAAATCTTCATCTACTATATGCCAAACTGTATACTCTGACTATATTGTCAACTTTTTCACTTTGGTAATGAATATGATGATATATTCATGATATGATATATTACTAGCTTTTCCTCATTGCTGATATAGGCTCTTGCATATCTGCATATCAAGCACATACAGTAGGAAAATATCTAATGCCAAATAAGCATGATTGCCGCATTATTTAATTGTTATTTTAATCATCTTTTGATCATAGACCTGAACCCTAGACAATTAATATGAAATTTGTTGATTTGCATGTACTATGATTATGAGTTGTACTAGTATTTAAGGAGCTATAGTCAATGAACTGAATGTTGGCATTAAGCCAAGTAATGATCAATGCCAGCATGATAGGTCATTCTGAACAGCAGTTCTTAAACATTGTTATTACAAGTTTTTCTTTTACAGTCTCTTTAGAAGGTTGAAAGCATTTGGAGAACTTCAAATTGAAGGGAAAATTTCCATGCCTTGAGGAATTAACATTCCCGAGAACAGCAAACCATAAGCAAGGTTGGATCTGTCATGTACATCAATAAAATATCTTGATCTTAGTGCTGTTGAGGTGCCAAAACTGAAGCGTGTCTTTCTTTCTTTATTTTTTTTTACCTGAAAGCGTGTCTTTCTGATGGGCTGCAAGCAGATGCGTTCCGTACTATGGTGGGCAACTAACAAGAAACTGTAGGTGCTACGTACGCATTGGCACCAATGGAGTTTGTGATTCTTCCTCCTGCAGCCACCAGCATTATGACAGGAGGAGCAAGTACGATGCAATTGTTGTGACAGGAGATGCGAGGTTCACTAGGTGAGCACCTTCCGAGCTGATCATTCTCAGGAGCTTCTATTTAGATTTGTACATGCTGCTGCAGTTTCATGTCGCACAGTTAAAGGATCAGGAAGCAGCAGCAGGAAGAAGATGGAGACTGCAGATGATCATGAGTACTGCTACTATTACTATGAAGAACAAGCATCATCTGTTGCTGTTGGGGCCTTAACGATGGCGAACACTGGTACTAATAGTTGTATCGGTACACTATTATTGATGATGATGATTGACGGGGCTCTGTGCTGCTCATGAGGCGAGGAAACAATCCCGGCCCATGCGAAATTGTGCGTTCGGTTAAGCCCTAGCGTGGATTTTAGCCCAGCCCACCACGGGGTTTCCCTGTTCTGTAGGCCCAGGAAAAAATCACCTACTCAAGAGGAGCGGAAAAATTCCTCGAGAGGAGCGGCGGCGCAATGAACACACAGACGCGACGGCAGGGGTGGCGTGCGGCGCGACCTGGAGGCGACGGCAACGGCGACGGCATGGTTCTCTCCTCCGGCCGCCACCTTCTCTCCGGTGAGCATGCTTCCTTTTCCCCTCTCCCCTTCTCTTTCAAATTTAGGGTTAGGGTTTCCTTCTCTTCTCCCTTTCCCGTCGTCGACGCACCGTGCCGTAGGGGCCGGCTGTCTGGTCGTGCTCTGGCGCCGACGCCGACGCTGACCACGTGCTCATCTCCGGCTCCGGCTTGGGCTTGGGCTTGGGCTTGGGTAGCTTCGGCTTCGGCAGCGCCTTGTCCTTGTCCTGCTCCGGCGGTGGCATGGCCAGGACACAGGAGGGTTCTTGGATGCCGGAAAGGAGAGGAGAGGAGAGGAGGAGGAGAGGGTTCTTGGTTCTTGGCCCGTAGCCTTCAAAGTGTCGGCACCCTCCATGTCGGCTTCAGCAGCCAGTGCAGCCCCTCGTCGCTGATCTTGTTCCACGCTAGGTACAGCTCCCTCAGCGCCGTGCACCCCGACAGCCCTGCGAAATAAGGTTCAGAAAGTCAGCGCCATGATCATCGCATCTCTGCAAGACTCGTCAAAAGCCTGATGAAATCCAGATTCCAGAGTCATGTAGATGTAGTTGCAGTTCCAGGTTTGCCAAATCTGAAGGAATTCAGAGTCATGTAGTTGCAGGTGCAGTACAGAGGAGTTCCTTCTTTCTTTTACTTTCCAAAGTTGCAGGGTTCGAACTTGATTCTTCTCAAGATTGCAAAATCTGAAGAAATTCAGAGTCATGTAGATATAGTTGCAGAGTTGCAGTGCAGAGATTTTCTTTTTTATTTGCTGGTAATAAGGTGTCAAGAAAGACAGGAAGCTTAATAGCATCAAAGTGAAACTAGCATACATATATCCGTCCAGGGGCTGATCAGAAGGAGCACTGAAGTGCTAATAAGAGTTGTTTTTATTAGTCATTAGTTTATTGTGATATATATTTGATTAATCAATCAGATTTGTACTGGATTAGGATCCTCTGTGTTTATCTATAGCTATCTCTTGCTCAAACTTCAGAATGTCACGGTGTTTAGCTGATACAAGGAACAATGATGATACTTTAGTGGTGAACCTTACATATGTGAAATTTTTTTTGCATTTCTTGCTTGTACATTATTGATTGCACTAGGATCTGGATTACCTTTCGTTGGTGGATATATTAAGTAGAGATATATTCCTCTCTTTATCAGTACCCAAATTTTTGGATATATAATCTTGGATGCTGAATTTGAATTGTCAGTGATGTGTGTAAATTGTGCTTGTTTTGTAGATTGCACGTGCACCAATTAGAGTTGGAGAAGACCAACCTCCTCCTTCCTGGGACCCTGTACCCTCTCCAAGAGGTACTAGATCTATTTATTCCCTTTGCTTTAAGTTGTTTATCTATATTTTGTGATGTAAATATAAAAAATAAAAGAAGAAGTGGTGTAATGTAGACCAAAATTTCTGGATCTTCTTTCTCACCATAGATGTCATCCTGTGAGGCTGCTTTTTCATACATTGTTTTGAAGTATGTAGTGGTTTTACTGTATAAAAAGGATGTAGTGGTTTTTCATACTTTTTTTTTCTTTTAAAGAAGTGTTCCTGCCAAACAAAATAAAAAGGATATTGTGATCAGGACGATATGATTGCATACAAATATGGGTAGCAAACTACTAGGTTCAGAAAACTGTCACTGGTTCAGAGTTAATTCTGAACTGTTAAATATGTTGAAAACTAGGTGCTATGACTCAAACTAAAAATAGGTGCTATGCATGCACAGTTATAGCCAAATTTGTGGGCACAAATTTTAATTGCTACATCAAGGAAATTTGAATTTGCAACTAAAGCAAATTTGCGAGCACAGCTAGAAATAAGACAAAATACAACACGGAGATGCGTTCAATTTTTCTGATTGATGCTATGCAAGCACATATTCAGAAACATCCGGAAAGTAGATTTTGTACATTAAATCTACTTTTCTGAACTAGTTACTATTTTGCTTTCAACATACGGTTAAATTTGTATAAAAAAGCATGGAGAACATACAAGTTCTCAGATTTCTGAATTCTGAACATGCACAGAACTGAACATGCTCCGTGCTAACTAATAAAAGATCATCTTTAACTAAATTTGACAACTAAATTTGGTAAGTGCTACCGTCATGTAATGAATTGGATGCTATGAAGGGGTTTAGTCCTGTTGCACTGTGCACTCTTTAAGAAAAAGGAATCGGATCCTCTGGCTTCGGCCTTCCCTAACGTTACTCTGCAGTCACCCTGATCTGCCATCCAGCAGCAATCCAACGACTCGCTCCCAGATGCCTTGCGTGGTACTCCTGCCTCCTTGCTCGGCGCTGGCTCGGCTTGCTCACGTTTTTTTGACAGAAGTCGCTCACGGCTCCTGGGTGACGGCTCGCTTCCCCTTCCCCTGTCCTCTTCTCCTGCTTACTGCTTGCTGCGTCCGCGACGGCGGAGGCGGCAGTGGCGGGCACACGGATCCGATTCCTTCATGGTGGCGGGCGAGCTCCCGCGGGTGAGCAGGGATCGGGCAGCGGCTGGAACGAGGGAGGGCGGAGCAGCGCGCAGTAGGTCAGGGGCTGAAGGCGAGGCCGGGCGGCGGCTCCATCGGCGGCGGGCGGGCTCCCGCGGGCGAGTGGGCTAGGGCGGCTGCTGGAGCGAGGGAGGGAGGAGGCGGCGGCGCAGCTGCGCAGGCTCAGGTGCCTCGTGGCCGCGGTGGCCGACGCGCTCGCCAAGCTCAGGACGCTGACCTCTTGCCCTGTTTGCAGCAATGTACTGCTTACTGAATCATTTCAGATTGACTGCCTACGTTTTTTTGCTTCTACTTGTGACCTGTAGTTTTCTCTGCATCAAACTGTATGACTGCACTCATATTTTTGTGACTTTCTCAATCACAGGAAATGTACCGCACTCATATTTTTTTGACTTCCACCGAAGAAATGTTGCAAGAATCCTAAATTGATCAGAAGATTCAGAACTATCCCGACTTCGCAAAATTCGTCGACGGAATGGTAAACAAGGGACAGATTTTTGTTATAGATGATTCTGGACAAGATGGTGTCATGGATCAGCATCTTTAAGCAGGAGGGGCAGCTGACTTCAGACATCGTAGAATTCAGTTCTGCTTTGGTAGCTGTTCACGTTTTATGTTATGACTACACCATGATTGTAACACTAGCGTTCCCAGCTTCGTTTCATTTTTCTTTTTCGTTTGAACCTGTATACAGATTGACATTCTGTTGTAAATTTTCTTGGGATTGAATAAAAAGTAATGCTGATTGTTGCAAGTTCAGAGATGCACAAAATGATCTGTTATTTAGATGCAATTCCCAGTGTCGGGCGCAGCTCTCGCCGTTCATGCGTCCTGCTGTCTCCCCAAAACAGCGAGCAAGTCGAGCCTTGGGCAGGAGAGCCGAGCCAGCGCCGGGCAGGGTGCACCACGCGAGGCATCTGGAAGCGAGTCGTTGGATTGCTGCTGGACGGCAGATCAGGGTGACTGCAGAGTAACGTCAGGGAAGGCCGAAGTCAGAAGATGAGTGACGTCAGGGAAGGCCGAAGTCAGAGGATCCGATTCTAAGGAAAAAAAAGATCCTTATTGTTCCTCTCATTTTGCCATCAATCTTTAAATATGATTCATAACTTGAATCTTCTTAAGATTAATTTCTATAGTTTAGTGATTCTTTTGTGCTTATCTTTCTAGATCTTTTATCTGTTTGTGAGATAGGAAAGCTGATGTTTACTCATTGTGCTTTGTAGGTTCCTTGAAATCGACTGGTAGGGAAATTCCAGATAATTTATTTAATGGTAGCAATTTTCTGAAGTTCCTGAAGATTTATTGCTTCAGACAGCATGATGGGCATTATAATAGTGTCTTATGCTGCTCACCTCATTCCACTCATAAACCTGATTAGTTTATGATGTATCTGAGTTATTAAGAATGTGTTTAAACTGAGTGCTCCCACACAGTGAAATGTGTGATATTTGATACTGTGGACATCATTTTTTTTCTTTTTCTGTGCTTCTAATTTGGAACACTGTCCCGGCAAGCTTTGAAGCGTTGCTGCTCAGATTAGATGCTCATTACAGCCATTGCAAATGAAAGCTTTGACGTAATTCAGGCCTGATTACAGCCGGCTGATAGAACAAAAGCATGTCTGCTCGGAGGAGCAGCCACGGGACTTATCATATTTTGATAGCTAAAATCCCTCACTAAAATGAACATGGGGTTTAAGAGAGGGAATAGGAGAGAGCAAGGGATTCCAACTCACATAGGGATTGAGTGACATGGGAGGGATTCACTCAATCCCTCCCTAGATATATTCCACTTGGGGATTAAATCCCAAGGAACTGAACAAGGCCTTAACGGACCGTACTGATTCCTTCCATGTGCATAATAACTCTTCCATGACGATCTTTGTGATTAATCCCATATTTCCTGAGTCATCAGCTAGCATGATACGTTTGTGGAAATTAAAATGGTTCCGCATGGAGAGATTTCCCAAGTTGGAAGCAGTCTTTGCCTCTTTCAGTAGCGGGTGTTCCCAGATTTTTCAGAGGCTAGAGACCATTCCGGCGGCTCATCTCCTCACAATCATAGCCACCTTCATTTGGAGCGAAGGAATCATTTATGAGAACGATCTGAACAACTTCAGAACGCTATGGAGCATACACATGCTTCTGCCCAAGGCTCAAGGTTATGCTCCCCCTATCAAAATACAATGAAATGCCAAGACAGTAGATCCTGCATGTCGTCTCCTGCGGTGATCTCAAGCGCATCTTCCCTTTGGACGACTTGCCGGAATGGAAACGGCAAGATTTACTAGGCGAGGTCAAGTTTTTTTTCCATCATTGAAGAGGATCTACCTGCACCGCTGCATGACTTCCCCCGCACTGGCTCTCCAGACCATCACCATGAGAAGCTGTTGGAGCCTCCGCCGCCTCCCGGCTATCGACCAAGGAGAAGACTCCCATCGCTACCCCATCGTGGACTGTGAGAAGAATGTGTGGGAGTGGGAGAGGCTGGAGCGGGACGGCCTCCACGCCGAATATGCACCACCCAGCCCTCTTTCGGACATATCACCCGGCCTACTACACCAACAACAAGATGCCCAGGGACTCCATTCTCTGTTAGCTCCATGCAGCCAAGTTATATATGTAGAGTTTTTACCATCCTTGAGAGATGGAGGTTCCAAATTACAACCGTCAATCTCGCAATATCGAACAGATGAGAAGGTTTGGTATCAGCGGGTACCGCACCTCTGCTCACGGAATGCCTCCACATCGTTTTTAAGACTTAGGGCAGAGTAGTAATTCCACATTCCGCATCTATCCCATAGGAGGAATCCCGAGCAGAGGTCGTCGAAGCGAGCAGCTCACATCCTTTGACGATGGCCCCCACGTTCTTGTTCCCTTCTCTTAGCCCCACTACATATCGCCAGCAGCTGCTACCACCGAAGGCAAGATGGAGGTAGCGGATTCGGCCGCCCCAAGCGATGGCGGTGACCTTATCAGTGACTTCCCCGGCGCAGCTCTGCAGCTCCATCGGTGACAACCCAGCTCTGCTTGACCACTTGTTTAGACTGGCTAGCTTCCTTGGTGTAAAGCGGCATTCCCAGTCATGCAAATCCTCCATGCCGAAGCGGCTTAGCGTATATAATTCCTCTGACAGACGTGCGCTAGTCCACCGACTACCGACGTTTGGCAGCGACATACATGTCTCACCTGTTCAGACTAGCTGGCTTCCTTGGTGTAAAGTGGCATGTAGATCCTCCATGCCGAAGCGTCAAAGCGTATGCAAATTCTTGACAGATGCACGCCAATCCACCTGCTACCGACGTTCGACGGTAGTACGTTATCTTTTTTTTGAACGGAGGGAGTAATTGTGTGTAATCTAAAGTAATGAAAGAAATAATCTTTCTCGGCCTCTTATTGGGCCACGTCATCATAAAAACGAGCACCAGCTGATATAGCATTATGGTGAACGAGGGATGTCGGATCAGATGAGAGTTTTATAAAAGTCCTTTCAAGAATATTACTCGATGGTGGGGGTCTAATTCGAGGGCATGGCTCGATCCCACTGCACGCCGTGTCAACAGAACGTTACTTGCGGACCACCACCGCCGCCTCGTCATCGGCATCTCCACATGAGAGCCTCAGCCTCCTATTCACCTTGACCTCCTCTGCAGCGCCTCAATCCCCTTCCCCTTCTCATCCTCCTCCCGTCCTCCGGTGAAGATTGGGAAAGACGAAAGGTCCCAAAAACTGCACCATTGGAGAAGTCAACATCCATAGCAGTGGTGACTGGTGAGTAGTACTATAACTTTTCGCTCCTGACAGTGTTCGTGTTGGTGAGACGCTCCTGTATGTGTGCATGTACAAGGTCTTCAGCTAATTAACTCTAAGAAGTTGAGCGCATGCATGTCCTAGCTACTAAACTGGAATTACAGTATATACCTATTTATTTTTGTAATGACGTAATTATTATGCCTAAAAAACTAAAAGACCTCTGGAGTGGTAAGTTTGGACCAAGTTCTATAATGACGTGTTTAAAGCCACTTATGTAGTATTTGCAACTTTTTAGTTTGCATATTTCATTTAAGAGCACTGTGAAAAGATCGTGTCCTACAAACATATAAAGATTTTAAGCAATAAATATTCCAGTTATACAACAGAAAAAGGATAAACAGTGTGTGCAATTGAATTTCATCTATCATGTTATACTCATTTTCAAAATGCGGATGATAACGAATGGGTTTCAAAATAGCAGCAAAATGGTTCATGAGTGGGATTGAGATTGTATTTTCATTACTTTTGCACACAAACATATAAATTCAGTTCCCCAAATAAATTCTGCTATGAACATAATTCCATGAGTATTTGATTTTTTTATAGTTGCTTAAAAAAATTAGTTGTGACAAGTTGGCTTTTCAAAAACTTTTAGTTGTGGCAAGTTGTGTGATAAGAAAAATATAGAATTATATGCAAGTTGGCTTCTTCAGAAGGTATTGTATTATATGCTGTAGATAAGACTCATGGAAATTTATGCATTTCTTTTTAATTTGTTGGTATTGTGTTTCACTTCTGGGTGTTGAACCATGCTAATTAATATTGCCAAATTTGGCTCCTCAATTACATCTCTATGCACTCGAATTAAATGGAATCCCTTATCAACCATTAGTCAGTAAGTGTGCTTCATTCCATGTCATACTATTGCCTCAAGTGTAAACAATCTACTGAAATTTGTGTTTAATTATTACCTTTTGAGGTCATAGTAACAATAGCCGTGGTAATATCAAGCTTCGAACTGTCTGTCATATCCTAAACTAAGAAGGCAAGTGACTGGGATACTGTGTGATTGCAGATACCTAATCTTATTTGGATTTCTATTTTAGACTGCACACATGCTTTTGTGCTACTTACGATATATTTCATACTTTTGTTGCTATATAACTTTCAAAGTTATTTTAAAACATTTTCTCTTAATGTAGACGTATGTATGATGTGATACTCTTTAAATATAAAAAGGCAGAGAATGATTGCAAAAAGCATAATCACATTGAAAAGCATAGCGAAGCTATTGATCGATTATATATTATGACCACCATTCTTTTCTTTTTTATTAACCGTTGTCAGCATTAATCTAAAAATTAAAAGCTTGAGAAGCTGTAATATGAGAGAGAAATATTTGTCCTACATTATCTCAGACTGTTATATCTGTTTTCCTATTACTTCCTTTGCAAATGTGATGTACGGAGGTATTGAGAGTAACGCGCGACTTAGGTGGCTAGTAATTTTTGACATGACATGTCTGGTAACACAGACTAAACGATTTTGTGACAACGCAATCCAAAATTTCATATGGTTTGATGTGTATGATATGTTTCAAATTCGATTCTGTACAATATGTTTCACTTCACACATGGGGCGCTAATTAATTAAATTACAGACCACGTTCGTTAAAGAGCAGTCCCGCTCACGTACGGCTAGTAGTTGAAAAACAAAATACGTGTCAGGCAGACGTACGTTAATTGATTTATCCAATTCAGGTCTACTCATAAGAATACAACTTGTTCGTGTTACCCAACCAAAACGCATCTGATTCACTGGCTACCTAGCTCAATCTCAAGCATCCTAATCTCTCGCTCGATAAATAAAACTGCATGACCCGAGGCCATTTTGACTTGGGCAGGTATGGAAGCTCGTGTTGGCCAAACCAAGGAGGAAACGCGACAATTACGACCATCCTCACCCTGACCCAGTTGCTAGGCTGCGAGCCTTTTCTTTTCCCAAGCT